CGTCTGGTCTACCTCAGACTCCACGTGAAAAGTAGAGCCCGAGTCCCGGCTGAAGAAGGGGCACCCAGAAAGTCTCTTGGCAGGTGCTGGGAACTTATGACTGAAGCAAAAACCTGAACCACCACTCAGCTTTGTACAGAAAAGACCTCTTCCCTTCCTGCTCACACTTCTGCCCCACCCCAGGCCTTGGTTCTGGCCCCCCCCACTGGGGATGATTATGGGAGGATGGAAGGACAGGAGGGCTAAAGAAGGTGAAGGTCCAAGTCAAAAGGAGCCCCAGGTTGTTTCCCGCCGTTAGGACATTTCCCTACACCACAAAGGCTAAATTTAATGCCACCCAAAGGAACATTCCCTGGGACATCTAGGTTGAAAGGTGACCTTCTGGCCCCCGGCCTCGCAGCTGTACTTCCCGCTGTCCCCCTTCGCCGCCTGCTGCAGCACCAGCCGCCGGGTGCAGCCCGTGGCCTCCACGCGCACTTTCGAGCTCCCGCTCAGCTTCTTGCCATCCTTGTACCACGTCACCTGAGTCTGAGCCTGGGCCACCTCGCAGCTCAGCGTGGCACTGGCCCCGGCCGTGGCCTTCACCTCGCTGTGTGCCGACTGCTCCTTGGCAAACACCACCGTGGGCTCTGGGGACAGGGAGGGATGCACAGTCAGAGGCCCCACAGAGGTGAGCCCTGAAGCCACAACGAGGCTCAGACACAGGCAACCACAGGTCCCCATGAGGATCTTTTGTGATCGGGTACTACAGCACAGCCCTCCCAGGCACAGGGGGCCTGACTGTTGCCTCAGTACAGAGGGAGGCATAGGGGGCTGGCAGAGCTTCTCCTGGGGGCAAGGAGGGTGCAGCAGGACTCAGAGAATGCACCAAGTGGCCTCAGGGGCTTCTAGAAGTAGCCAGGACCTCACAATCACTGAGATCCAAATCTATCCCGCTGAGGATGCTGCCAGCACCTTCTGGGTCCTCTCAGCCTCCTTTGATCTTTAAAAGGAAAACGAATACTTCACAGTTCCTTCTTATTTTGCATTGTTCATCCATCTCAGTGTTAATTTTGTGGGTAATTTCTTTTCCCAAATCGAAGCAGCTGTCCCACCCCAGGCATTCACATAAGCAATGAAGAGCCTGGCAGCTCTACCTTGCAAGTCCCAGATGCAGCCAGACCTTCTCCCCACCCACCAAGCCCTAGCGTTGCCCACTCACCACAGACACGCAGCTGGAAATCCACCGAGTGCTCGCCCACGCGGCATGAATAGGTGCCCTCGTCTTGCCTGGTGACTGAGTTGGCCACCAGTCGATGCCGTGTGCCCACATCCTCCTGTGAGAAGTGCGAGGAGTGGCCGAGCTCCAAGCCATCCTTGAACCAGCGCACGGGCACATGGGCCTCCGCAGTCTCGCACTCAAAGTGGGCCGGACCCCCGGCCACCGTGTCCACGCAGCCACCTGCCGAGTCTTTGTGCAGAAAGGGTGTGAGTCCTGCGAGGGCAGCTGTGGGTAGGAGGTAGGCCTATGAGCACACACTAGCAAATGGAGGGTCCCAGGTGGAACCCTGGCTCAGCCCAGCCCAGGGTCCCCTTCATACAGGGTCTGCTGCTGACTTCCAGCCACCCAGTGCCATGGACTGTTAGGACTTCCCCACAGGGTCCCTCCCTCTAGTGAACAAAGGCCTGGCCCCCACTCTTTCCATGGGGTAGAGTGAGCACCCTCCCATGCCCCCACTGTCCCCATGGAGTCACCTGAGCCTACCCCTCCCCCACCCATAACAGGGGTAACCTGAGCCACAGTCCCCACAGTCAACTGAAAATGCCCCCTAACTTACCCCGCCACAGAGAACAACAGCTCCCACTGCCCTAAACCCCTAGAGCCTACCCAGAGTTGGGGTACAGAATGCTGTAGCTATAGCAGTGGCCAGAAGGACGTGGACACATGTGAACACACATACCTTGAACTGACAGGTGGTAGGCGATGCGGCCCCCACGGCTGACACACTCATACAGGCCAGCGTCGTCCCGCGCCACATCCCGCACCAGCAGTGCCCGCTGTCCTGCTGAAGCCTGCACCTTGTACTTGGGGCCTGGGGGCAGTGCTCGGCCGTCCTTGAGCCACGTTACAGCCGTAGCCTGGTCTGACAGCTCTGCCAGAAGCTGTGCCTCCTCGTGTAGTCGGGCCAGCACCTCCCGAACTTCCGTTGGATGCTTGGTGGTCAGCCCTGGGGGCCCCACAGGTGGAGAGAGAGGGTGTGGAGGTGACAGAGAGTGGAGGAGGAGGGAAAGGGGAGCAGACAGATGGAGACATGAGCCTCTGTGTCATCAGGAGCCTCCAGCCCCTAGTCCACTCATACCCTGTGGCTGAGGACACCTGCCAAGCTGGGCAAGCTGCTTCACATACCCCCCCACCCCATCTGGTCCTGCTTGCACAGGCCACACACCCAGAAATCCACTAGCACACCCCAGGAGCCTTGGGCCTAGGGTCACAGGTCCCACTCCTGCCCCCACCCTTAGAGGAAATAGAACTTAGAGAGGCCCCAGGGGTCATGGGCTGGAGTCCCCCTACCTCGGACCTCCATGCGGATGCTGCTTTCGATGCCATTGGCCACAAACTTGAGCTCAGCACCATGCAGGCTGGCAGGTACTGAGCGGATGGTGAGGACATGCCGTGTGCCCTCGCAGCGGATCACATATGTGTTGCTGGCCTTCAGGACCTGCCCATCCAGGAACCACTCGCCCACAGAGACCGAAGTGAGGTCCACAGAGAAGGTCACCTCACTGCCCTCCACCGCCTCCACTGCCTTCAGAGGCGTCTTCACAGCCAGCTGGGGTGCTGCAGGGTAGGGGCTTCAGGACAAGCAGGGCACCTGGCCTCCCCGCTTCTTCCTCCCCAGAGCCTGGGCACATGTGCCCCCATCTCCAGGAAGCCCGTCAGACAGGCCCATGGCAACCATGAGAGATGGCAGGGTTCAGGACTGAGTAAGGATAAGTTAGAACCACCCAAGATCCCCTCCGGATCCTACACACTAGAGGTGGAGGGTGCAGCTGTGCAGCCTGGTCCCCTGGGGCTGGTGGACACAGATAGGTTTCTAGGGGCCTCAAGTCCTGTCTCAGAGTCTCTTCCCCTTCCCACAGAGGAGGCTCCAACATCAGGACCCTGGTAACTCCCCCCGCCACCCCCACCCCCGCCAATAAAGAGGCTCCATGAATCACTGTGGCCTCACCAAGGCTGGGCTATGCTCTAAGTCTGGGTGATTCAGCAGCAGGTGCCCTGCAGGCCATTACCTGGAAGCCAATGGGAACAGAACCGTCCATACTTACCCAGGTGGACAGTCCCCGGGAACTCAAGGTAGGAGCTCTGGCCAAAGCTGTTTACAGCTGACACACGGAACTGGAAGTCCCCCTCCTCAGCCACACAGTCCACAGTCAGCTCAGGTGTAGCCACCCACTCGGCCTCATGGCATCGGCTCCAAGTGTAGGTGCCCAATCGCTTCTTCTCCACCACGTAGCCATCAATGGTGACAGGGCGGTCCCCATGGGGTGGTGGGGACCAGCTGAGAGTCACGGAACTCTCTGTCTTGGCCTTGACCACAGGGGCCTCAGGGGTGTGTGGTGGTGGCTTCCTGGGGGCTGGGCAGAGCACAGGTCCTTGTCACCAACTGGGAGCCCCTCCCTGACCCCAGATCCAGGATCACCCTGGAGGAGAGGGGCACAGAATCTCCAGCCCTCCTAGGGGGCACTGCTCTGATGGTCTGAAATGGCCACAGCCAAGGTGGAAGGCCGGCCTGAGGGGAAGCTGTAGGCCCATGATCCCTGGTCCCAACCTGTGACCATTTCTCAAGTTGCAGCAGCCACATTGGGCCCAGGGCCACCATAAGCTGGCCATGTGGTTTGGGGACAGACACCTTCCAGTTCAGTGCATTGGGGTCTTGGCTAGACAGTGGCTGAAGCAGGGCACAGTGACCCTCCTGAGGTGCTGGAGCCCTATGGAGGGGCATCCCCCTGCCCCCAGCCAAGAGTTAGCCCTGTGGGGGAGGGCGGGAGTGGGAGGGAACCACCGCACAACCTACAATGTAGATACTAAAGGCCACAGAGAGAAGACATGCTCACACAGGACAACCACACACTGTGCTTCTAGAACAATCTGCACCTCTAATTTGGTTGGTAGGATGAGAGGCTACCAAGTCTCCCATTTTGTCAACGCCTGGGGAGCCCAGAGTGGGGGATGGCTGCAAACATCTGTGGGTCTGAGGGTTACCAGAGCTACAGCCTGAACGCAATGAGCCCCACACCCTTCCTGCAGCTACTGAGCACATGTGGGCCAGCCCTGGGTCCAGAGCACGGATGGTGACAAGGGGCACCTCTTCCATTGGAGAGGTACTCCAGGCCCTTACCTGACACCAAGAACTGAGTGGACGTCCGGCAGTCCCCAGCCACAAAGGCCACCTCACCCACATCCTCCAGGCTGCACTTGGAGATGGTCAGCGTGTGGCATGTGCCTTCAGTGGTGATGGCTACTCGGCCCCCGGCCACCACCTCCTCATGGTTCCGAAGCCAGTGGACCGGGCCCTCTGGCCTGGCCAGCTCTACGCAGAACATGGCAGTGTCCCCCACTCGCACCACTGTCTTTCTCGGGAGCTTTCGGGTGAGGTTGCCTAGGATGGCCAGAGCCAGGAGTTAGTCAAACCGGACAGCCTGCCCCTCCTCCAGTTTCATGGACCCCCCTGTCGTGTTGCCACCCACCTTGTACTGCGAGCTCGGCCACCGTGCGGCTGCCCTCGGCCATCTCACAGATGTACACCGCGTCATCGTCAGTGGAAGCATTGTGGACAGTGAGCCGGCGCTCTGTGCCCGCCTCCTCGATGGCATACTTGGCGCTGGCCCACAGCCGTGTCTCTTCCTTGTACCACACAGCCTCCGTGGTCGGCAGCGGCACCTCGCACTGAAACGTGGCCGACCCCTTCTCCTGCACCTCCAGGTCCTGCAGCCTCGTCTTGAAGGGCACTGTGGGCTCTGAGGGGAGAGGGCTGATGAGCAGGGCAGGGTGGCTGGGCAGGGAAAGAAAGGGGGTACTTGGCTGGGGGCACCTGGAGTGTGGTGGGTGGCACAGGGCAGGGCAAGTAGGTGCTGAGGTCGGGGCAGGAAGTCCCAGCAGGGGTTGGAGGGGCTGCAGGGCAGGGGTGAGTGAGAGAACTGGAGAGGGGCAGGGAGAGGAGACAGAAATTAAAGAAAAGAGCCCCTGCCCCCAAATAGAAGCAGTCTGGAAGGAGAAAGAAGAATAAAGGCAGGTGAAGCTACAGCCTTCAGCGCTGGAACAGGTCCTGCCAGAGCCCTAGGCAAGACAGCAGGACCAAGACCCGCTGGCCGAGGCCCGCCATGACGCCACACGCATCTTCTCCCTGTAGCTTCCTCAGGGACCCTCGCAGAGGAGGGGCATTTACTGCACAGAACGAGGAAACTGGGGCATGTGCGGGAAGATCCATGCACTCTATTCAAATCCTATCGTGGTTGAGATGTGTAATAGGGTGGAGTTGGGACCCCCAGCACTCCAGAGGCTGGTGTTAGGAGGGAAGAATAAAGGGGCCTCCCAACAAAACCTGACGGTGTTGCCCACACCTGCCCAGGCCTGGACGAGAGCCTGCAAACTGCCTCAGAGCCACCTCAGGCTGCACGCAGCCACTGGGCCCAAGCCCTCCAAAGCACAGGGTTTGTCCCCGCCCCTGCCCTCCTTCCCTCTCCGTCAGGGGAGAGTGATGCCTGGCTCACCCTCACTCTGCACAGGGCAGGCTCAGCTACCAGGCATTCGGAGCGGCTCCCATGGGGAGGGGGTGCTGGTGACAAAGCACTTTCTTCTTTACTCTTGTGACTCACAAAGACAGGGGACAGGCTGAGGGGACAGGCATTTTGCGGGCTGGTTAAAGACAGAGCTGTCAGGACTTCCAACTCCGAATCCACTACTGGACAGACAGGGAGGAGCCTAGCTTGCGTTCCCGGCAGTGACTTCGGCAGGTGTGCGGGGCAGGCACCCAGCTCACCTCGCACAACGACCAGCACGGAGCTGTAGGTCTGGCCCACGAGGTTGGACGCTGTGCACGTGTAGAGGCCACGGTCCGACTGCTTGCAGAAGAGGATCTTGAGCACAAAGTTTTCCTGCGCGTCCTCGTACACCAGGTGTCGCCGGCCCTCGGCCACCAGCTGCCCATCCTTCTTCCACACGGTCTCGGGCTTGGGCTCGCCCGTCACATAGCAGCTGAGGCGCGCGTGCTTGCCCTCGGTCACTGTGCAGGTGCGAGTGCCCCCGCCCGGCGGGCGAGGCCGGGGCTCCCTCGGCCCGCATGGCCTCGCGCCGCCGCTGCAGGTGCGCCAGGAGGGCGGCGGTGGAGGCGGCCGGGCGGGCCTGCCGCGTCCGCGTCCGCGTCCACCGTCAGCGCGGCGGCGGCGCTGCGGTGCTCAGCGGGTTCTCGGCGCGCACCGTGTAGGTGCCGCCGTCGCG